TGGGAGGGTTTAGATTTTAGGGTTTAGGGTTTAGGGTTCAGGGTTTTAGGGTTTGGGAGTGTTCAGGGTTTTGGAGGGTTTAGGGTTTAGGGTTTAGGGGTTTAGGATTCAAGCTTTAGGGCTTTGGAGGGTTTAGGGTTTAGGGTTCAGGGTTAGAGTGGCCGTAGGCTGTCGAGTCGCAGGGCCCTGATCCAACTTCAGTCGCCGTAGGTTTGGGGGTCGGGGTTCTTTTCGGGCTTAGGGTTTATAGGGCTGAAAGCCCTAAACCCTAAACCCTAAACGGGGACAACTGCCGGCATACAGGACCCCTTAACAGCTCTAGGGTTCTCGGGTCTGGGGCTTGGGATTGTAAAATGCTTGCGGTTTGGGGTTTAGGGATTAGGCTTTAGGGATTAGGGTTTGGGGTTTAGGGATTAAGGTTTGGGGTTCAGGGTTTAGGGTTTGGGGCTTAGGGTGTTTATATAATCTCTGGGGCATACGGCTTTGTGAGCCAAGGGGCATGTGCTCCGAGATCCAGTCCTCAACAACGATCTGGTACCTGACGCCAAAGCTCATCGGGTCTTACGACATCAGGGTCCCGAAACCCGAAACCGTGAGTCCTAAACCCAAAAATCCGAAGCCCAAAACCCAAACCCTAAAAACCCTAAACCTTAAACCTAAACCCCAAGTCCCTAAAACCCCAGGTCCCCAAACCCTAAACCCCAAGCTCTTAAACCCCAGGTCCCTAAGACCCCAGGTCCAAGTCCCTAAACCCTAAACCCCAAGTCCCTAAACCCCAAGTCCTAAACCCCAAGCCCCTAAACCCCAGGTCCCTAACCCTAAACCCCAAGTCCCTAAACCCCAAGTCCTAAACCCCAAGCCCCTAAACCCCAGGTCCCTAACCCTAAACCCCAAGCTCTTTAATCCCAGGTCCCTAAGACCCGAGGCCCCTAAACCCCAAGGCCCTAAACCCTAAGAGCCCTAATGTTTAAGAGACACAGATAATTATCCGCGCGCTACGAGCCCAAGCCCTACACCCGTAACCTCAAGCTCCACCCAATCTACCGTATGCCCAGAAAACCACACCATGAGAAGAACGCATGACCCATGGCGATGATCTTGAATCCGTTGTCTCGAAGCTCAACATCAAGCAACCTTCTACCCCCTTACCCCTAAGCCCTAACCCTAAACCTAAACCCTAAACCCTAAAACGCTAAACCCTGAACGTGAAGCCTTGAGCCCTATTCCTAAATTCAGGCCAAGACCCCAACCTGAGGGCGGCCCTCACACTGAAAGGGTTTAGGGTTTCCAGGGTTTCTAGGACTTAGAGGGTTTAGGGTTTGGGATTAGGGTTTAGGGTTTCCCAAAAAATGGAAACCCCACCCTCAATCTACAGCCGAAAGCCACCGAATAAACCCACACAGAACCCTGAAAGTGGCCCTTTGTAACCCTTAAGGGGTCCTGTCAAGGACCCCCTAAGACCCCAAAATACGCAACTAGGAACCTGAACCCTAAACCCTAAGACCCAAAATATGCAGCCGAGAGCGCTTCGGCTTGATCATGGTAAAGAGAGTAGTTCCGGGATCCTCCCCAGGAGCTACTTCCTGCAGAGCTTGGCATGCTGTTCTGGGTTGAGGGTTTAGGGCTTAGGGGTTTAGGGTTTAGGGTTTAGGGGTTTAGGGTTTAGGGTTTAGGGCTTGGGGTTTAGGGTTTAGGCCTGAGGGTTTAGGGTTAAGGGCTTGGGGTTCAGGGTCTAGGCCTGAGGGTTTAGGGTTAAGGGCTTGGGGTTCAGGGGCTAGAGTTGAGGGTTTAGAGTTTAGGGTTTTGGGGTTTAGGGCTAAGGGCTTGGGGTGAAGGGCTTAGGGTTTTAGGGTTGAGGGCTTCGGGTTTAGGGCTTAGGGTTTAGCTACCTCCTGCAGAGCTTGGCGTGCCATGATGATGGGTTCAAGCGGTACTGTAAGCGTTACCGTAATTTAGGGGCTGCTGCAAACCTTCTTTAAGGGTTACCAAGGGTTTGGGATGTACGGCCTACATAGGGTTTGGGCTGTAAGGTCGAAGGTGTATATGGCAACCATCGTCATCGCAGGGTAAGGACAAGAACCTATCGAACACTTCCGAGAATTAAACACACCGCCGCAAACGCCAGAGGCCCGTGAGTGTCGCCGAAGCATGGCACCCCAGAAATCAACTTGCTGACGAACATTGAGACTCTCAATGGAGAATAGGATCTCTCGTCACACCGAGTGACGTGCAAGCATCTTCTGCACCACGGCTTTTCCGTGGATCTCAAGCACGTGAAGTCGAATTCTCCGAGCGCCAAGCCCGAAAACGACGGAGTATCAGCTTGAGAGCAGCTGATCCCGTTGTGAGGGCTTGATTGTCTGCAGCAGTCACATTGTCGACGACAGAGTACATTACACCGATTTGAGTGCATTTCTGGCAACATTAGAACCAGCATTGCAGGAGGCAGTTTGTGACGATCCACGCCAGTTGGCATTCTCGGAAAATTGTGAGCTAAACCCTACACCCAAACCCTAAACCCTAAACCCTAAACCCTAAACCCTACACATTAAACCCTAAACCCTAAACCGTTCTTGGATTGATCCGAAGAAGCGGAGCTTGGAGGCAGTTGGTTTGGTCGATCGCCCGACTTATGTTTCCCTCCTGCTCCTATTCCCATAGACTCTGTGTCGCGAAATCGAGGGCTTAGGATTTGAGAATACAACTGTGATGATGATGATGATGATGAGGATGAGGATGAAGGTGATGATGATGATGATGATGGTGATGATGATGGTGATGATGACGACGATGATGATGATGACGACGATGATGACGAATATGATGGGGCTCATCATGTCCTCACCATTCCGTGAAACATCGTGATGGCATTGCTGGGTGTTCTTCCCGGGTGCCCGCTTGGAGTCGGAGGACCGAAATGTCTAAGGCACTTGCCCAACTCCAAACCCTGAGCCTTGAGCCCCCAGAGCCTGGGTTGAACCCATTTTAGGGCTTATAGGGTTTAGGGGTTTAGGGTTTAGGGGTTTAGGGTTTAGGGGTTTAGGGTTTAGGGTTTAGGGGTTTAGGGTTTAGGGTTGAATGGAAGCACGACGTGCAAAATCCTGGATCTCTATAGAACATCAACCCCAACCCGAAACAAAAAACGCAAAGCAGTCCTTCAAGTGGACGGTCGCCCTCCGCACCGCGTATCCTGGATTCTGAAACTAACGGCTCTTGTAAAGAATTGCATAAGCTTTCATGGGAGTCGTAGAGGGTTTAGGGTTTAGGGGGAG